GTTCGGCCAATCACAATGCACTGGGTCAGCTGGCCAATCAGAGCAGACCGCGCTTGTCAAAGGAGGGGGCTTTGTTGAAAACGACGTGTTTAAGAGAGGCGGGGCATAGAGGACCTACAATAATGTACAGTATTTGAAAAATAATGTGTTTTTTGAACATTAAAGCATGTCAACATATTCTGTTACACAAATACACAAAATAATGATCTTTAAAATAGCATCATATGACCCCTTTAAATGAAAAATGAAAAATAAAGCTTAAAAAAAATCAAAATATTAAAGAACAAAAGGTATAAGAGTATAATAATGATTCTAACATAACACTAAGCCAAACACCAAAAACTACATATGAATGTACAACCACACACACATACATATACAATGTATATATAGTTTGTTGAAGTATTAAAATAACTAAAATTAAATAAAACTAAAAACTTAATAAAAGACCTATACAGACATAATAAATTCAGACAAAATGTAAATAAATAACAAATACAAATAATACAAATCAAATGACAGTAATTTATCAGTAATCCTAAAAAATAACTCTTACATGCTAAAAAACAACAACTTACTTACACATAGTAAGAAATGGTTATAAAAACTGAAACAGAAGTGAAACAAGTAGTAGGAAAGAGGAGAAATAAAAAGCGATACTTATCCCTTGCCGGTGTCCCTACCCGGTGGAGTCGCACAGTATAGTCGATGGTCTTTACACTCTTCGGTCTTCACACGAGGAGGCCTTCACGTGACCGCTGTCGTGGTAAACTAAGCTTTTTTTATACCCGTCTAACAAAATACTAAATTAATTCAGCTGGACACACTTTACTTATTTTCTCCGCAACAAACCCATTACAAACGAGGCATTTGTTGCATCCAGTGGGGACATAATTAATGATTATATTGACTTATACTGTCTTTTTAGGCTTTGCGTTGCATCGCGCCGCATACACATAAAACCATGTCTGCATTTGTGATCAGAGCGCTACTCTACACTGCTCAAAACTCGCGTTTGAATCATCAGTGGCAAATTATTTCAATATAAAAAATGTACTTAAAGTCTGTGAGGCAGAAGCGCCAGACTGTCCTTGCAAAGTTGGAACTGCCCCACTTTATAGAAACAGCCTTTGTTACAACTTTACAGATCTTCTTTATGCACCAAGAGCTTGTAACACTCCAAAGAGAAAGGAAAAATTGATATCACATCATATGACCCCTTTAAGGGGAAAACTCTTAAAAGTGAATTTGTGTTCCCTAAGTGTCACCATATTAAATAATGCAGAACAATGCAATATGATACATGCGGACCGTAATATTATATTAGACGATAAACCCTTTAAATTCACCCTTGGTTCTCATTTCTCCTGTTCTTT